TGAAAATATGGCATGCTTTTGAATAAAGCCATTATTGGATCAACATGATCAATCTCGTTTCCCATTTCACCTGGATATGGATTCATTGTACCCTTCTTTGGTATTTGGGACGTCTCCAGCATAGACTATAGGGTGCATATCATGTTCAAGTCTAAAAGTATTTATAGAGGTTCCCTGCATGTCGAAAAATGGTTGTTTTTTATTCAATGGTACTTTAGATTTTGATGTAGCTTGTTTGAACAGAACAGTTTCATGCATCTTGCTCACCTCATAAACATGACCTTAGTCACAAATTTCCTATCTATTGTGCTAGCAGCCACAGAGAGAAACCAAGGCGAGACATTGGTGATTGTTGCAGGATCAGGACCCGAATTACCAGCAGAAATCGATGCAAGTACACCATTCTTCATCGCGTGGAAAGCTCCAATTGCTATCGAACCATTAAAATACTCTCTAGGAGCAAATCCTCCAACAGAAAGAGAAATTATATCAACTCCATCGCCAATAGCATCATCAAATGCTGCAAGAATGTCAGCATCATAGCAGCCATCGAACCAACAAATCTTGTACACAGTAATGCGAGCAGAAGGAGCCCCTCCTCGAGCTGTTCCTGAGGCAATGCCAACCATGTTTGCCCCAGTAACTGAGTTCCCTGCAGCAGTTGATGCAATGTGAGTCCCATGTCCTTCTGTATCTCTTGGCGATACAATATCATCTTTACCGAAGACTCCATCGGCACGGTAGTATCAAGCTCCAATTATTTTACTGTACATGCATTGCAGATCCTAATGGCTAGCCATGTATCACAATATAGCATTTATGCGTATGTGTTAGTTCACTCAGAATTTAAAGGGTTTACTTGTTGCAAGTGAAATTTTGGCAACTGCCCTTCCATTTCTTTGGAGGGGGACCAAATCCTTCATCACTAAAACTTTCAGATTCTGGCCAAATTCCCGTGTCAAGCATTCCAACAACGATATTACTTTCAATATTAACTCTTCTAACATGCTGGGAGAAGCCCATGAAGTCCCATGACCTTGTTGTACGGGGTTGTTTCCTTTCATTGGGGAAGACAGACACCACTCCTTCCATGACTGAATAGGGTCCTAGTGTTGCAGCCTTATCATGAAATCTGTTTCCATTTTTAAATATAGATCTTCTAAGAAATTGCAGTCTTCTTACTGGATATCTTAAGCATCTCTTCATTGGTCAACTTCGCAGCAAACCTATTAAAGCCTCTTTGGTAGCTGTAGAGTATAGACTCTGATGCGCTGATCAATGCAATACAGTAAACAAGTTAAAATCACAATCAAAATCAAAATAAAGTACTCTTTCTTGCACATATAGACATGTTTGGTTATAGATCTTGTCTCCAAACATGAAATGGCTTCTATTTGGATATGTTAATTGTAACATTGCCAGTACATCTACTCTATGTGTAAATGCTACTTTTGAACTAGATAGATAAACTTTGATTTGAAGTATAGAGAGCAATCAACTGGCAAAAACCTGAAAACAACCTTTCCATAGCTTTTGAGGCCTCTTTAATTTCTTCATTTGATTTCCATTTCTAGTGCTAAAATTGATCTGTAATTTGTATTATGAGAAAAGATAAAAATATTGTTGTCGCGTAGAGCAATATACAAAATATGTCTAAAAACCGTCAATGTCACACCATTTATTTGTTTACTCCTAGGATACAATGAGCTATTGATCAGTGTTAAACAATGTCAATAACTTGACAACAACTTCTTCTAGCATGCTAGTATTGTTATAATCTGGATTTATGACCAGCACATAGATAAGATTCCCCTTTAAGATTCTATACCTATACGAACCTAAACTTACGTACAATTTTATCTTTTAAACAACTTAATCAAAGTTCAACGCAGCATTAATAATAAATTTAACTTTTTATAATACAATTTGATTGTATTAAAGTTCAACACAACATTAATAATAAATTTAACTTCTTCTAATACAATTTGATTGTATCAAAGTTCAACGCAGCATTAATAATAAATTTAACTTCTTATAATACAATTTGATTGTATTAAAGTTCAACACAGCATTAATAATAAATTTAACTTCTTCTAATACAATTTGATTGTATCAAAGTTCAACGCAACATTAATAATAAATTTAACTTCTTATAATACAATTTGATTGTCTTAATACAAGAGTTTATATAAATTCATAGTTTTTTAGCACTAACTAGACATAAAAGAAAGTTATAAATTTCAACCAAAAAACAGGTTCGGAAAGTCTAACAAAAATGACATGCTATCAAGCTATAAGCCTAAAAAGGATAAATAATGAAAATATAAGTTTAATATACAAACACTCGAGGTAATACAGCAATGAGAAATATATATACAATTAGCTTTAGATTATTATAGTAAGATTCCTCAAATAAACCATAACAAGAATATCATAAGGTAAAACTCATCAAAAAATCAAAATACAATGAGTATAAGACTCCGTACTGTGGGATAATTAGTCCACACAGGTTGGTGACTCCCCCGACCAATTAAGATTCAGATATGATGTGTACAAAAACTAACACTACTCTGTTAGTATAGGTATTCTGACTAACATACCATAAGTTCATAATAATAATCAAACAAACATATTCATATCTCAAGGCTCAACTCATGACATCAATCAAATGAGAAGCTATCAATTCAGAAGCTAATTAAAAATATATATTAGTTCATCTCATGAATTCAGATTCAACAATTAATCATGCTTTATCATAATAAGGATAATAATCAACATATATATATTATCAAGAATCATGATCCAATTCATATTAACAAATCAAATATTTATAATATTTCTGATGCATATGAAAAATTATCCACTCACCTGAATCAAAAATAAATAGAAGTCAAAAGCAGATATCGAAGAAAATTCTATGGACATCCCGCTGGTAGAGTATCAGGATTATCTGAATACAAATGAGACATATTCAAGAACGACTTGAAAGAACATTTAACCTATTTAATACACTTACTAAGGATGTATTTTATGACCTTATATGTTTTTGAATTATCTAGTCGATTTTCTCAAAAACCCAAAATTTAACGGTTTTTCTAAAATCTAATTCATAATAAAATAAATAATAAAATTAGTAATAATTCACCAAATAACCCTCAATTATTCATCAAACCAATCTGAAAAATCTAATATTACAAATAGGGACTAATATGAAATTTAACATAATTCTAAGGGTCAAATTGCAACTCTTGTCAAATTGAAGGACCAAACTAAAAATATCACAAATTCATGAATATAGTGAAATTATGTCCATAATTCATTTTAATTTCTGTCCAGAATCTCTAATTATGTTCTAGGGACCATTCTGGAATTTTTCCAAAATTTTAGGGTCAAATTGTAATTTTTATCAAATTGAAGGACCAAAATAAAAATATCATAAATCCATGACTATTCTGAAACTATGAGCATAATTAATCCTCAATTCTGTCCAGAATATCTCATTATGCTCCAGGGACCATTCTGAATTTTTTCTAAATTTTTAGGGTCACATTATAATTTTTGTCAAATTGGAGGACCAAGTTAAAAGTGTTAAAATTTCATAACTATACAGTAATTCTGCCCATAATTCTTCTTTTATTCTGTTCAGAATCTCGGAATATGCTACAGGGACCAATTTGTAAGTTTTCAAAGTTTGGGGACTAAACTGTAATTTTCACAAAGGGACCAAACTGAAATTGTGTCATCTTCAACCTCAAACCCAGAATTTCCACATATTACCTACTGTTCTTTTCAAATTTCTAACTCAAAATTCACCATTTACACAATTCATAACTCAAAATCATTACAATCTTCCATAATTAACTAAATAATCAATTAACCACAACAATCAATCCTACAATATTCAAATTAATTTATCAATCAAACCCAAAATATAATCTTCAAAACCCTAACATTCATAAAAATCAAAATCAAAATTTAAAGCTAAAGAAAACATATTATACCTATTAAAGCATAAATCTTACACTTTTAACTTATTTTCTTTCATTCCTCTTTATTTTTTTTTTTTTTCTTTTTCTTCTTTTTTCTCCTTTCTCTCTCACAGTTTGCTCTAAAAAACACAACTTCCTCTTTTATTTTGTTTTTTTCATACTTATTATATTTATTCAATTACTACACTACTTTTATTTATTTATACATTTTCTTTAAGCTTCCAATAGCTTTATTACCTTTTCCTACTTTTTAATTCAAAACATTATAAGTGTGGAGAGCTGATGCATAGAAATCACCCTTTGGACGGTCACCCAAGTATACGATATAAACCTGCTGCCACACAATGATTAGTATGCAGAGTAACTTTTTTTTTCCTTTTTGAACAGTATTTACCAGTAATCTTAGAGCTCTATTAGTTTTCTAAAATGAAATATGGGGGCTCTAATGAACTCTGACGTTCTGCTATTGCCAAAGTTGATCAGTGCTCTAAAATCAAGAGCACTGATCAACTTTACTGGGACTTCACAACGGACTTACCAACTAATGGTGGTCACTTAGCTCAACCCTTTCCAGGCTTGGTTGCTAGAAACGAAAAAGGATAATTCTGAAAAGATCAGCTTACCGAAACCATCTGCTAAATTAAACTGGGAACTCTTTGTTGATAAGAGAACAGATTTTGAAGGTGGAAACTAATTAATAAAAGTAGCTAGTCTTCAGTTATTCTGGCTGGATTTAGAATCTGGAAATGCAATGCAACTCTGTAGCAACATGGAGAATGGGCACCGGATCACTTGATTTGCAAAATGTAAAATTGCAAGGCATGCTATCCCTGTATTAATAGATTAGATCCACTATAACTTAATTACCATGTAAGTTGATTGAACTTTATCTCAAGGTAACAGAAAACATTACAAAGGAATGTGTCTGCGGAACAGAATTATTATGCATTTGAAACAACATTCATCAGGTTTATTTCTTTAGTTAGTTGGAAGGAAGTAAAATTCCAGATTTTAATGAGAAGGATTAGCCACAACTGGGCTTCTTACTTGATGCACCCCATCATCCCAAACCAAAGATCCAGACAGTACAGTTTTACCCAACGTAGCTTCAACCGTGACAACAAAGGAAAGTTGCTGCCCAAGAGACTGGAAGGAAAGGACATCTGGTTCAATTTGGATATTAAGTCCACTTGGAGCGTTCGTGATTGACTTGTAAGTAGATGATGCTGATCCAACATTTGTGACGGTTCTATGGAAGATTCGAGTAATAGTTTTCCCAGATTTGGCAGATAGAGCGAAAGATGGGTAGTTTAGATCCCACACAGTTCCATTTGTTTCTGAAGAACATGTGCTATTATCTCCGGTAATTAGTAGAAGTTGTGTAGCATTATATCCTTGTCCACACAAGAATCTAACATAATCAATCTCTCCAGCATCATATACTAGACCAGGATCAATAGCCTTTGCAGGATTTATATGGCCTGATCCATAAGCGAACTCCGCATCATTGTTAATGCTAGAACTCATGGAAGAAGCTGCAAAGAATAGTAGAAACTGAGACTCGATTGCGTGTTTGGATGAAGTTTCTTAAATTAAACCTTAGTTCAATGTCTTATATGGTCGTATCTATAAACCTTGAATATCACTGAGATCATGCGCTTAAATAAATATGTTGTTGTAATCATGACCATTACCCGTTGTCATTAGGGCAGACTTAATGGCAGCAGGAGACCATGTTGGGTTAAATGCCTTGACATAAGCAGCTGCGCCGGATGCATGTGGACAAGACATAGATGTTCCGGAAATTATGTTGTATTTAACCACTCTTGTATCCCCTGGGCTTCCTGTTACAGTGGTTGCTTCAGACCATGCTGCCAAAATGTCCACTCCTGGGGCAGTCAGGTCGGGCTGCGCAGGGTAAAGAAGTTACAAACAGTGGAAGCGGTCCGCAGCTGAAGAAAGAAAATGAGGAAATCCTTCCAATTTACCTTGAGAAGATCACTTGTTATCGGATTAGGCCCTCGTGAAGAAAACGAAACCACAAATGGGGCAGTTCCATCCTTTATTTCAATGCTCTTCATTATAGTTGCGGTTGGTTCACTGGAAGGATATCACACCGAATCGAGAAAGTAACTGAACAAACGTTATTTAAACTTCGTCTTCAATTTCACAAATATACAGTGGCAAAAAAAATTAAAAATTACCAGTACCTAGTTGAGTTTAAGTACTTCAAAAGATCAGCTCTATCACTTGAGTTCAAATACGAAACTGGTAAAGGAAAACTAAAGGCCACATCAGAATAAGCATCACCATTCATTACCGATCCAACTGCATGACTGGCTCTTGCCTCCTCCCCTCCACTGATCTGATCGCAGAGAACGACTTTCCCTTCCACCATAGTGCTGTTCAACGAGTCCAGGCGGCAATACCTGCATTTTCAGGATAAACTTCGTAGATTTACAATACTGGATCATTCCATGTATATATTTTATTGTACTTGAATAGTAGATGTTTACAATTCTCAATTGAAGTATGTTGATCCAACTTCATTCTCTGCTTACCTGGATTCTGACCCGTCGTATCCTGCTGTCTTGTTTGGAGCATCTCCACCGTAAATGAAAGGGGGCACAATATTTCCAGGCTCAAAAGTATTTATGGAGATTCCCTGACATGAAGAAGGAAACGCTACAGTTATGGTCTAAGCACCAATCCAAAGTATGCCATCTTGATCAATCAGTCCTATTCCTATATATATAAAAATTTCAAGGGTGGAAGGAGGCATCGTTAAAGTTTAAATATTCCTTTATTTATTTAGGACTGAGACATCCATGCTCACCTCATAAATGGCTCCATTGCCTAAGATCACCGGGGTCACAAACTTTCGATCTATGGTGCTAGCAGCCACAGACAGAGACCAAGGCGAACAATTTGAAATTGATTCCGGAGCAGGACCTGAGTTACCAGCAGAGTTTGATGTGAGTATTCCATTTTTCATTGAATGGAAAGCTCCAATAGCAATTGAATCCTCAAAATAGTCCATGGGCCACCCTCCAACTGAGAGGGAGATTATATCAACTCCATCTGCAATAGCATCGTCAAAAGCTGCAAGAATGTCGGCATCTGAACAGCCATTAGACCAACATATCTTGTACACAGCAATACGGGCTGAGGGAACCCCTCCTCGTGCTGTTCCTGTAGCAAGGCCTAGTAGGCTTGCATCTCTAACCAATCTTCCTGCTGCTGTTGAAGCAGTGTGAGTCCCATGGCCTTCTGAATCTCTTGGGGAGGCAAAGTCTCCTGGATATACTTTTCCTTCGCTATGGTAGTATCGAGCTCCAATTATCTTACTGCAAGCAATTGCGGATATGTTACAAGGTTAGGAAATCCCAGATTAGCCTATTTGAATCCTGCTTAAGCCTGTAAAATGTGTTTGCTTGTGTGTCCTTGTGCAAGTTATATAGAGCTTTAGAATTTTACTTGTTGCAAGAGAAATTGGAGGATGCCTGGCAAGTGCCCTTCCATTTGCTAGGAGGCGGACCATATCCCTGGTCATTAAAACTTTCAGACTCAGGCCAAATCCCTGTGTCAAGCATTGCCACAATGATGTCGCTTTCAGAAGTTGCTCTTGTAACATTCTGGGGGAAGCCCATGAAGTCCCATGATCTTGTTGTGTGAAGTTTTTTCTTCTGACTAGGAAACACAGACACTACACCGTCCAAGCCTGAAATTTGAAGGGGGGAAAAAAGGAAAGGAAACTTATTATGAAAACTTTGCATAAGCAAGCATAGGATTGTGTCTCAAATAATATTTTATGATAATAATGCCTTCCCACCAGCCATTTTCTCTTTCTCCTCTTTGGTCAATTTAGCAACAAAACCATTGAAGCTCCTATGGTAGCTATGGAGTAAAGAATCTGATGCACCACTGTATCAAAATGCAATCCATTCAAATGGTTAGGGTGTTACTCAATAATAAAATATATTTTTGTCAAATAAAAAAAAAAGCATGCTCATTTGTTGAAAACAAAGATGAATTTTTCTAAAAAACAAAATAAGAAATACATTAAGTTTATTATTATTATTTTTTATAAAAAATCAAATCCATAATTTATAATAATAATAATAATATTTTATATTCACGGTAATCTATTTGTATAATACTAGTTTTATTTTACTCAAATTAAAAATTATCATGAAAAAGTTATATTGTTAACTCCAAAAAAAATCTTTACGTTAGATTTTTGATAAAAAATAAATTTTACAAAAAAAAAATGAAAATATAAAAAATAATTTTAATCTCTTAAATTATTAAAAAATGTTTGTATAAAAGAGTATTGTTTATGTTTTTTTTTTCAAAAAACATTGAAAAAATTATAAAGGGAAACTGCAAAGAACCTTTAAGATGTGTTTTTCAAACTAGGTAAAATTCGAAAAAAAAAAACTAGTTTTTTATAGAGAAATGTTATATTTGAACAAAAAAATTCTAAATTTCCTTATTTTACTCTAGTTTTTTAAGAACTGAAATATTACTCTGTCTTCGAATATGATCTGGGTACCTCACAAGACTTCATATCATGCTTGTCAAAAATAAAAAAAGTAGCGTACGTAAACAAAGAAAAGAATTAATGAACTCCTTGGCTTTCCACATTAGCTCAATCACAAAAGGGATAGTAATGCAAGTTCAAGTGTGTTTTCTTCCACTATGAAAATGTTACCTGCCCACGACGTTTTGTAGCATGCTGATGTGAAGAGCTGATACTGAAATATCACTCTTTGGGCGTTCACCCATATACACAATATAAACCTGCTTTCAGTAAAATGGCCTTCAGCAACGAAATTATAAGGGAAAAAAAAAGTTGTGGCAAAAATAAAATAACAGAAAGGATGGTGAGATAAAACACAGTGCCTTTTTGTCTTCATCGGATGAGCAATGGCAGCCAATAAACAGACTGCAGGTGAGGCTGATGAGGAGGAAACATGAAAATGAGAAATTGTTCGCCATCAGAGAAGACCCCCAAAAGCGAGAAGTTCTAGCTTGCTAGCTTGATAATGCCATGCAAAAGGGAAGAGCGCTTTATAGTAGATAGAAGAAATAAGACAAGTCGTTGAATCCTGTTCTCCTGCACCGGCTTCTGATCTTAGCTAGCCAATCGTTATTTTTTCTATTACAAAAATATTAGTAGCCATTGTTAAGCTCGCCACATTCGGAAATCGCTATGATAATCTTGGAGTGTTTTGCCACCAGCTGGATTTAATTATACATCTTAAGATAACAACCTGGTATGGTGTTTAATTTTTAGGTGTTTAATTTTTAATCTCCAGTTTCGTTGTTCATCTGCCGTCTTTGGATCACTATGTTTATTTATTTATTTATTTTTATTAATATAAATATTTGGATTAGTTTATATATATTTTGATTAATTTTACGGAATTTAAAATAAATAACCACGTATATTTTTAATATTTTAAAAATCATAAGACTCGGAATATAACTTTTATAAAATAAATCTAGATCTTGATCTGCAATCTTCTATTCTAGTTACTGATGTGTAATTTTTAATCTCCAGTTTCGTTGTTCATTTGCCGCCTTTGGATCACTGAATAGTGAAGAGGACACCTCTTCCCTGTTCTCGAATTATTTCCTTCCATCTTTCTCTTCGTTTGATCTAAACCTTCAAATAGAGATCTTCAGTTTTAACCACTTGGTGGTGACGGACGCTGCAATTAATGAACTTTTTTTTTTGGTTTTTGAGCTATGGAAGAAGAAGAACAAGGTTAGACAATTTTATTTTCACAGATTTGGTTCATGATAATAGAGCTTCATTTGATTTAAGGTTATATATTCAAATATGCGATGATATGGTATGACACGTGAGAAATACCGATAATGATATTTTTTTATTAATTTGATAATTTCTAAAAAAAATTCAAATATAATTGAAGTATTATGAGATGTTTATGAGTATGATAATGGTTGTTTTTAATGTATTTTTTACTTACAAATATATTAAAATAATTTTTTATGTTAACACAATAATATGAAAACACACAAAAAAAAATTAATTTGAAGTTAAAAATATATAAAAATTTTATTTATTTTAATTTAGTAACCAAACACAACCATTACTTGTATGATAGAGGTTTCTGGTGAGTGAAATTGAAACGTTGAATTTACGACAGAAAAGAAACGCCAGAGCCAGTTTACTCCCAAGTAATTGACAAAGAGTACTAGTATTTATAGCTGTGCTTATAGTTTCAAGGCTTTCGCTTCAGTGCAACATTCACGGTAATAGGGCTCCTGACTCGGTATACTCCATCATCCCATGCCAAAGAAGCAGAGGCTATCGAACTAGCTACCGTTCCTTCAATTGTGAGTGCAAAAGAGAGATTTTGACCCAGGGAGGAAAATGATAGAATGGTGGGGTTCACTTGGATTTCAAGTCCTGGCGGGGCAGTCACTTTAGATTTGTAGGTGGATGTTGGTGACCCTACGTTTGTGACGACCCTGTTGAAGACTCGACTAATCACCTCCGAGCTCGAGGTAGAAAGTGCAAACGAGGGGTGGTTCAGATCCCAAACTGTTCCATTGAAAGCGTCCGAGCAACTGCTATTATCCCCAGAGATCATTCGTAGAACACTACTATTGTATCCTTGTCCTCACAGAAATTTCATGAAGTCAATTGGCCCCGCATCATACACTAAACCGGGATTTATAGCCCTGACGGGATTGATATGGCCGGCGCCATATGCAAATTCAGCATCATTATTGATTTCAGCATTCATTGGAGAAGCTGGAAACATGGCCAAATTAATTAAAGATTGTTAAGGTCTCTCGCTACTTGATAAACGAATTCAGAATTAGAATTTGAAACTTTAATTACCGGTGGTCATAAGAGCAGACTTGATGGCTGCAGGAGACCAAGTGGGATGATACGATTTGATATAGGTAGCGGCCCCGCTTGCATGGGGGCAAGCCATTGATGCCCCTGAAATTATGTTGTATGGCACCATTCTATTGTCCCCTTCAAGTTGAGAAACGGGAGAAAGTGGAGACCATGCGGCTAGAATGTCAACTCCTGGGGCAGCTATATCTGGCTGTAACATTATCAAATGTCAGTGAACGTAATTAGTTGCATGAGACATTTTTTTAAAGAAAACCATGTGAATTACCTTGAGAGCGTCAGGTGTAAATGCATTCGGACCTCTTGATGAGAATGAGACCACATAAGGGGCTGATGTATCGTTTGCCTCGTTACTTTTATAAATAGTGGCTGTTGCGTTGCTGCAATTTTTTGGGTTTGCCCAAATCTATTATGAGTTCATCCCTGTTAAATAATATTTATATAATTTTATTTATTAAGGATAAAATAGTATTTTTAATTTAACTTATATATAATTTATATATATTTAGATTAAGGGTAAGCACTTATAATATAGTGATTATTCAAAATTGTAACCTCCATTTTGTGTTTGATGTTAATTATTTTAACAACCTCACCTCGTCCTTTAAGTCCTTCACATTATTGATTATCAACTTGAAAAGGTTCAATAAGTACAATATTTTCACACTATTCTCTTTGATTGATGCCTTGTAGAGTTCATGTAGGATAGAATGTTGCTACCCTCCCCTGTTCCAAGGTAAGACAAAGGCAGTGGAAAAGAGAAGGCGACATCTTTGGCACCTCCGTCTTGCACTACGGCACCAACTGCACCAGCAAAGAATGGTTCTCTCCAACCACTCAAGGCATCGCAAAGAACAATTTTGCCCTTCACCAAAGCTGGGTCCAATGAGTTTTGAAAGCAAAACCTGCATTCTTCAGTATTTTTCAGTTGATTTTTACTTGTTTACAAAAACACATATTTCTGAAATCCTCCACCCATGCACGTCTTTCAAGTAGTTTCTCCAGAAATTTCATTTGTATTTTTTATTGATGGACTGAATCCATGGTCCATGACAAAGAACACAAAAAAAAGTCTCCCAATATTTACAATTCTAAAGCTTCAATAAATTATGAAGCTCTTCTGGGTATTCATGACTCGAGTACAATTACAGTTCTTTGGGCCCGGAATGTCAAGTTAATTCCTTTTAAAAAGAATTTGTTGAGATTTTGTTGGTTTACCAAATAGAAAGACAAAAGGTTCAAAAAGAAATGAGAGTTACCATGAGAAGGAACTACTAAAATTTATGTTCGAAGCGTCTCCTCCATAAATCAGAGGATGCATGACATTCTGAAGATCAAATGTATTTATCGAAACGCCCTGATTACACAACAAATTAAGATTTGTTAAAAAATAAGTTTGTATGTGTGTGTGTGTGTAAGGTGCTTAACTGTATTAAGTGCTTGACATGTTGATGGACTTAAATAATATAAAGTGGTTTTATCATATCTATAATGGATTAACATGAATTATAATGATTTATATAGTCAGCTGTGATAAATTATTTTATCGATCTCTAAATTAATTTACAGAAAACTATATTTTAGCCAAAGTAGATTTATTAACACATTCGATTTTGATACCTATTTCAATTCTTTAAATGCTAATCCTAAAATTCCAAAAGTTTTAACGTGACCCTGGACTTTTAAATAGAAAATGAATTTAAATAAAATTGAACACTTCTCTATTTTTTTCACTTTTTTCATCTCTTGTTTCTCTCTCAAATACCTATATAATAATATTCAACCAAAAAGTAATAAAAAATAAAAAGCAGGCATGCCATCATCAACAACTATTACCACAGCAATAAAACATCAGAGGTCAAGTTGAGATTTTTTATGAGTATATGATTGATATTAAGACAATATAATTCATCCGAATTTGAATTGTTCTAAAATAAATAATTTTCTAACGTCACGAGCTAACAGTTTGCCGCAAAAACTACAAAGAAAACGAGAAAACATGGAACATGTATTCTAACATAAAAGATTGGAGTAACCTTACCTCGTAAGCCTTGTTGTTTCCTAGTAGGACCTTCGTAAGGAACTTTCGGTCAATTGTGCTAGCAGCCACGGAAAGAGACCATGGTGATGTATTTGAGATTGTTGCAAGCCCAGGACCCTTATTCCCACCGGAATTGGAAGTCAATATACCATGTTTCATAGCGTGAAAGGCTCCTACTGCGATTGAATCATTGAAATAGTCATGAGGTGTCGAGTGTCCAACTGAAATGGAGATAATGTCAACGCCATCAGCAATTGCATCATCAAACGCTGCAAGAATGTCAGCGTCCCAACAACCGTCTAACCAGCATACTTTGTACGCAGCAATACGAGCTGATGGAACCCCGCCTCGAGCAGTTCCCATGGCAAGGCCATACAGGCTTGCATGCTAACTGACCCCCCTGCTGCAATAGAAGCGGTGTGTGTCCCATTTAATAACACGAAACTTCACGATGTTTGTCACATCAAACAAATATTATAGAGGTGAAATTTCTTAGGAAGCTCAGCTTTGAATACTTCATGCCAGTAGCAGTTTGAGTGCCAATAGAATTTAGAATGCACTTGCAATAATTTACGAGTGTTCCTATCAAAAAATATTTTTTCCCGGGTCTTATTTGGTGGAAGTTCTTATCCTTTTAAAAATATTATCACAAACCTTTTTAAACAACCAGCGGTTAAACTCCAAAAAAACCGTAGAGGTCAACCATTAATTGGGATTGAAATATGAATTAAGTCGAAATATTAGTGCAGGAAGAGTCTAAGAATCACTTGGTGGGGTTAATGCATGAACATTCCAATCATCATCTTTTGCTAGCTAACACGCAGAGGAGATAAAAAAGGAGACAAATATTAAAAGTAATAAATAAATAAATCAGTGCATTAATAGTTTAAAAAACTATTTATTTATTTTTGTGTTTCAAAAATATTTTTGAACAAAATAATTTTTTATATTTATTTTTTTATTTCAAATTAATTTTTTTTATGTTATAATTGCATTAATATCAAAAATAATTTTTTAAAAAATAAAAAATATTATTTTAATTTATTTACTAATAAAAAAATACTTTAAAAAACAATCTCCATCACACCTTTAAATATCTTCTAACAATCGGTTGGTGGAGAATGTTCATACTTTTCTAGCATAAAAACCTGTTCTAACAAAAATACTTGTATAATGCGTCTTAATTGATGATGGCAAGCAAAATATCTCAGTATCCTTTCTTCCTTCTCCTACTCAGCAGCCTGATCATCACTTGTCCTCCCCTTTGTAGCAGCACGGCTTCTCATTCTCAAGATGATCGAAAGGCATGTTTCTCTATGTTTTATTTTAATCGATTGGTCATGAAATCCGAAAATGGGCACTGCCATATCATGACTAAGTTATCATTGATCCTTGATTTGGGTGGTCTTTTGATGCTTCGATTTTATGCCATGAAAAGAGCTCGAAATTAGATTTCTTCCATAACCTTTTAATCTCTTTTGCTGAACTTTTTTGCCGTCTTGATTTTGTCAGGTATTCTAACTAACTAGGTTAAATTTTCGCCTTTGGCATTGTTCATATGCAGTCATATATCGTCTATATGGATGACCGGCCTAAGAGCGAATTCTCGGCTTCTTCGCTTCACTTGAGCATGCTGCACGAAGTCGCTGGCAGGTTATAAATAAAACTACTCTTTAGCTTCGTTATAAATTTATCATCCTTTTGTTCTTTCATGAATGTAACCACTATAAAAATGTTGAATATCAAGCACAACATATAATATTAAGCATCAAGAAGCACTTTGATCTTTTTTGGACTAACCTGCAATCTATACTAGAATGATTTCAGCAATTTTTCTCCGGAATCTCTGCTCCATAGCTTCAACAGAACTTTCAATGGATTTGTAGTGAAGGTGTCAGAGGACTAGGTGGAAAAACTTGCTGGTTGGTGCAGTAAAAGGTTTTTTTTTTATCATTGATTTTTTATCAAATAAAATAAAAATAATAAAATTTAAATTTATAACTACTTAATCAATAAGATTTTGATACCATATCAAATAATTATCTCATTTAAAATGTTAAGTTATTAGATAAGTTACTAAAAATAATTTTATATTACTTTCTATATGATATCAGAATTTTATTAATTAAATAATTATGAATTTAAATTTTATTATTTTTATTTTAATTAATAAAAAATAAATATAAATAATATAACTTCATGTAAATTTTAAGTTTAAAAGATGTTAGAGACTAATACAAAAGCTTTTATATGATGCAACAAATAAAACGGCTATAACTTTTCTGTACAGCAATGTCCAGCGTAGTATCTATATTTCCTAATAGAAAGAAAAAGCTTCACACGACAAGGTCATGGGACTTCATGGGATTTTCACAAGAAGTTCAAAGGACCAACGTAGAAAGCAATATCATTGTTGGGATGCTTGACACTGGGATCTGGCCCGGGTCCGAAAGCTTTAATGATGCAGGATTTGGTCCACCACCAAGCAAATGGAAGGACTTCATAGTTTTTAAACCCGGCCCAGTGGCCGGCCCGGTCCAAGGCCCGGGTTCCGGGTTTTGACCGGGTCACCGGGTCGAACGGGTTGGCCGGGTCAATTTCTATTTTTTAAAAAATTCAAAACGACGTTGTTTTAATAAAAAAAAATAAAAGTCAACGAGTTACCACCGGGTTTTTTACCGGGTTTTGCTGGTAATCCAGGTTTCCGGGTCACGCCGGGTCATGGCTTACCTTATTTTTTCATCAACCCGACCCGGTTCCAGCCCCGGGTCGGCCGGATCCCGGGTCAATCTACTGGGCCGGGCCGGGTTTTAAAACTATCGTCTCATCCAATTTCTCTTGCAATAAGTAAATTTAAATATCTTGGCTTGTTTTCATGATGAAAAATCTTTCTAATTATAATTAATCAGTAAGATCAAGTCAAAGAAATATTAACAGATGTAGCAATATATATGCTGTCCGTATGCAGTAAAATAATCGGAGCAAAGTATTATCGTAGTGATGGAATGTTCAATCAAAGTGATGTCAAATCTCCAAGGGATTCAGAAAGAACTGGTATTAAAACTCCATGAGCTACGAAGGGACGCACGGGACAGGTGATGTGCTCATCCCAGCTTAACTACAAGGGCTACCATTGGTACCGTATACCAAGCTGTGATGATTATCTTTATAAATTTCCTTTTGTTTTGCATGAATGACATGTTTTTTTTCAGACCGAATAATTATACTTGGTTTTGATATTTGAAAGCTGTTTTATATTTTATTGATGTTTTTAAAAATATTTTTTATTTAAAAATATATTAAAATAATATTTTTTATTTTTAAAAATTATTTTTTATATCAACATATTAAAATAATTTGAAAACATCAAAAAATTATTAATTTAAAGTAAAAAAATTATTTAAAAAAAAATATTTGTAAAACACAAAATTAAACAATCCAAAATAAATATAAACAAGACTGTCTAACTTTAAAAATGTTAATGATCGCCGTTAAATTTATGTTCTCCCACTAGCCTGAGTAAAGTCAGAAATTGAAAGCTTGAGTCTTGACCACTTCTTAGTTGATTGAGTCTTGGCAAACTCAAGTATTGGTTAAAACCTCGTTACACTCCGGTATGGTTACAACCAAGCATCCAAGTATTGTGTAAGAAAATTGAGAATCGATGGAGGAAGGGTGAGAATCAAGGAGAAGGACAATGCCCCATGGTTACCGACAACGAAAAGGGTTTTGAAAGTTAAGGAGATGAAGCAGTTTTAGTAAAATAATTTCTTAATAGATATGAGTGGGTAATTGTTTATTATTAAATTTATTGGATTATAATAAAGGTATATAATAGATATGAGTTGTTTGTAGTTTGTAAGAAGATTAGATTTTTTTATTGAATTTATTGAGCCTATAATAGATATGAGCTGGCTGTAGTTTGCAAGAAGATTAGACTTGTATTTTGTTATTGAATTTATTTGGCCTATAATAGATATGTTTGTTTGTAAGAACATATATATATATATATATATATATTGGTCGATTTTTTTAAACTTAGATTGACCCTCTAAATAATAATTTAATTGGGTTTTAAAATTATGATGATAGTAGAATGTAATATTGATTCATTACTTAGCTATATTTGTATAATTAATATGGCATTGAAAATTTGGTGGTTGTAATTGGAATTTGAATTTGAATTCAATGAAAACTTACAAAAATATAGTCGAGGGCAATGGAGTATAATCGAGGTGACTTGCTAGTGACTCGGGGTGAGTCAAATAGGTGGAAGGCATGTTTGAATGATAAAACTTGAAAAAAGCGAGAGTAAGGATTTGTGGCCTCATAGACAAAACTACGTGGGTATAAGGAGGGCAGAGATTCCTATATATCCCGTTTTCTTTATCTTTATTTTCATGTATCGATTTAATCTGATGTTCAAGTTCATAAGCTGTTGTGTTTAATAATATCTCTGTGCCAAGTTACATATCTAATATGAATGACAAACGTTCATAGAGAAAGGTATTTTGTTTTTTTTTTTATGTTGTGATGAAGGCTTAGTAAAAAGTGCTAAAAGTTATTTCAAGGGCAGATTCTATCAGTACTGTCATAACATTGTAACAACAATTTTGATTTAACAATATAAATAATTATTCCTAACTCTGGATATGTTTTATGTTGAATTTTTTAAAGCACCACGAAGGTATTCAAGAGGAAACCCAAACCTATCATTCAAGCCTTTGGTATCATTAAGAAATGCACTGCTAAGGTCTTTCTTTTATCTTGATTGATTTCTTTTGTGATTTCTTCATGTCGTTTCAACTGCTAATTAATTAGCTCATACTTTTAAGAAACCTACATATTTATCCCTTGTTTAAAATTTTCATTTTGACTTTAATATTTTTAGTTGCTTGCATTATTTAAATTAAATCTTAATGCAATTTCATATTAACATATGCATATCTTGTTAATTTTACGACTATTTTATCTTTAGGATCATGATTTGTCCATATGAGAGTATTAGTTTATTGATAATTTATTTTAGTAGAGATTATATTAGCTTAGATTAAAAATATTACTGGTGATTTTTTTTATTATTATTAATATAATTATCCAAATTATTTTGTACATATCTTAATTAATTTTATAGGTTCTAAAGTTAAATTTTTATGTAAATTTTCAGTAACTCTAAAATTTATGAGATTATAACTAGTAATCTTTAAAAAAACAAACTTAAAACTTGATTAATTAAGTTACATACCTTAAAGTTATAAATAATTTATTCTATGCAGTGAATATAAAGTAATGGCTCCATAGTGAATAGCTATCATTTTCCATATGGTTGAAAATAGAAATCACAGGGTTCCCTAATCATCTATGGAAAAAAAAAACCCAAAATGATTTCTGGAAATATCACAGGAGGTAAAACGCGACCAGTCATATAAGGTAATAATTGGTTGCCTGATGTAGCAGCATTTTTTTATATAAATAAAATTGTAAATAGCACAGATCTGTCTTTCGTTGCTCATAAATTGTAGATCAATAAAATGAACCAAAGAAAAGTAATAAAATCAACAAGAATCTAACGTGCCAGATAGCGTCATGCATAATATACTAATAAATGGATTGCAAGGTAATTAATTCATTAATTAATTATAAATTTGCCCAGCAATTGCACATAATAAATTAAGGAGGTTCATCGAAGAAAGAAAGGATATCGAGGAAGTGTGAGTCAAGACTCGAGAATTTTTTAAGCACAAGGGAAATGGAAGAAAAGAAAAATTTGTGGCTGGCATCCTTTACATGATCACTGCACCCGTTTATTGTCGATATTACTCTCGAAGCGTGCCATATGCATCCCTGCCGAAGAAAGTTAGCAAGCTCCACTTCTTTTTCCATGACAGACTTAGCGGCAAAAATCCTACTTCTGTCCTTATAGCTCGTCCTAACAACACCAAGGAGGACAAGTCACCAGCGCTGCCATTCGGCAGCTTAATTGCCGTTTATGATCCGTTAACAGTAGGTCCTGAACCGACATCTGAGGTCATTGGTCATGCAGAGGGGCTCTATGTATCATCCAGCTAAGATGTCTTGACACTAGTAATATATCTTGATTTCGGTTTTACCTCAGGCAGGTTTAATGGGAGCTCTTTAAGCTTGTTTTCAAGAAATCCGGTAACAGAGAAGGAACGTGAAGTTGCTGTTGTTGGAGGGAGAGGAAAGTTCAGGATGGCTTGAGGGTTTGCTCGGCTTAAGACCCGCTTCACAAATGAAACTGCTAGCGGCACCGTTGTAGAGTGTTGTGCGACTGTGGTTCATCACTAAACACAGAATGGTAAAAAAATCAGCACCCTCGGGCCCCTTGCAACCAACTAGAAGTCCATTAATAAATATTAGTAAAATAAATAGTCCTTTTTTTTTTTTCTTAAATGAGAATCCCTTTTCATTTCGTAATTAAACCCATCCAATCTAACAAGTTGAATCCAAAAATTCACAATCCAGAATATAATATGGATCAGATTTTAAATTGAAAAAAAAAATGATCTGATAAAGGTCGCTTATGCAGCTGAATCTTTAATGACTCGACGGCTAAGGTCAACTTTAAAAACAATTGAAGGCAAATATATTTTTATTAAATCATTTGATTCGAGTTCGACCCATTAACTTTGCTCATTGATCCAAAAATGCTAGCCCGGCCCATGGGAAGATTTCTTGGAAATAAAGGGCAGAAAATTGTAGTCCGCGGCTAGCCGTCAGATTTGGTCGCCGTTAGATGGCGATGATGAGCCCTCCAACCGGCGATGATGAGCCCTCCAACCGGCGATCAACCTCAATTAGTTTCTACAAAACCGATCCGAGGTCCGATCGTCGCGATACTGCTGGAAATGCCTCCAAAACTGGGTGGAAGTCCGCTAGCTCTCTGACATCCGCGGGGAATGGGCGAGGAGGAGAAGCTCCAGCGACGACCATTGCATCCCGGAAAAGTCCAGACGTGGACTCCAATTCTCCTTCGAAGGAACAGAAGGCGGCAGCTCCCAAATCCATGCACATACAAACGGGCTCCTCAAAGATGGAAATCTAAGAGGGATCTGTAAAACTTGAAAACATTTAGGAAGTATTTTTTATTTTACAATGCTACAAGTCTTTCTGTGATTTACACTAAAAATTATTCACCTAGACCTAGAAGTCCAGGACCCGGTCCAAAAGCCCAATGTCCAACAGAGTCCGGTCACTCTCGCTTTATTTATTTATTTGTTTATTTTTATGGAAAGACAAAGGTGTGAAAGCATATACATGTGTGTGTGTGTGTGATTTTAAACTCTCCCGAGTTCCGCGCCTTCAATGAAAGAATAACCGTTTAACATGCCTTTTCATCCGTTATTCTTGTTTTACTTCTCTCTCTTGTAGCGTCAGTGTACCCCTCTCTCTCTACCCCCAGTTTCAAATTTAATACCAACCTAATTTGCCAACTTCAATTTTTTTTATTTGATTTGGGGGGTCAAGGTGTGTGAGGGAGAGGATTAGAGAAAACGCAGGATAATTGATGGCATACAAGGTGGATCATGACTACGATTACTTGTTCAAGATTGTGTTGATTGGAGATTCAGGTGTTGGAAAATCAAACATTCTTTCCAGATTTACGCGCAATGAATTTTGCCTGGATTCCAAGTCTACTATTGGTGTTGAATTTGCAACAAGGACTCTCCAGGTTTGTATTTATGTTTCCTCTTTTTTTTTCGTGGTTAAGTATTTTGTGTTTCCATTCCATCAATCCCATCTTGTGATGAGATCTCTAGCTTTTCTTTTAATTTGTTAGCATTTTGTTTATTTTTATTTTCATTTTCACTTGTTATAAAACGAGTTTTGATTTTGGAGCGTTGCTATCAGCGCCATCATCACGTGTTATTCTCTTGTCGGTCACATATTTTATGTTTGTGGATTGTGTTTGTAGTTCAAGTGAATCCCGCATGATCCTGACTCATATACTCCACTTACATATCAGAGGAATGCACTCAACTCCAAGAGCATCGAATAATATTGATGCCTCCTCCATACAAGGGGA